GGGCGGTGCCGGCGCTGTCCTGCGCCGCGCCCGTTTGGTAGCCCTGGGACGGCAGCTGCTCCCGTCGCAGCGTTTCACCCAAGTCACAGTTGCCAGCATGAATTACTCAGCAGCTGGCAGGTGATCCGAGGGACCCTGGACCGGCTGTGAGCTCGGTTCCCGATTACTAGCCTTTCCTTACTGCTACTTGAGGAATGCGTTAAAGGCATTTTTAGAATTACATTTCAATACGCCTTATGGCTTTTTGACACAAATAAGGACTCTTGTGAGAGGTGGAGATAACTCAGGAGATCAGAGATACGTGGTATAATGATGGTAGAGATCTCCCGGCTTTTTTAACAGTGATCATCTGCAATGAAGTATTGGTAAAATTAACTCACACTCAGTTCAGACCCTTAAAATATTAGCCTTTCACTCACTTGCTTTTGAGAAGCAACTCAGTAGCAGTATGGTAACTTAACAGCTAGTGAAAATGAAGAATTTAAAGTACAGATGATGCATGTTTAAATTGTCATATAGATAACTGGCATTTAAGCCCTTCCCACCGAAGTCTTCTGCCAGTAAAAATCCTGTCTTTTTCAGGACTTAAGTATCCACAATCATAACTGTGACTGAAGTGTGAGCCTTCAGCTAGCAAGTCAGGCAGGAGACAATAGCACCTGTATAAACTTGTCTGGCAGTGGGAAGTTGTTTTAATTAAAGAAGTCTAAAATTCAGGACACCAGATCATAGTCTGAGACACAAACTGCACTTACAGAGCAGTCTACCTCACAAACTTGAGCCTTGCAGTGGAAATGCAGCATAAAGCTTCTTCAGAGAACTTGCACAATAAGTGCAAGACTTCTAAATAGCTGTAGAAATCAATGCTATTCTCTTTCAAGTTCCAAGTAAAAGTCTACTCAGTGTTGGTTTTCATGCTTCAGGCAAGTGTAAGTTTCCATTTCTCTTTTTCACTTTGCTTTGTACCTTGCTCTGTCTAAGCCTTGTTCTCATTTTGATTGTTTTAGAAATAAGGTTCACCAGCAACTGGAACAAAATGGCATCTGTGCTCCGAAGTGTCAAAGCAACAGTGGCCCAGCGGAAACACCAGCTCCTAGCTAACTGCGATGAGAATGAGAGCCCTGTGTCTGACAAGTTCAAGAGAAGGGCTTCTTTGAGTTTTCTCAATACCATCTGCATGTCTCTAAGGAAACGAGACCCATTAAAGCAAGTAGAGCTGAGTTTTCATGAAGTCCCAACTGGGGAAACTCTAGAAGCAAGACAGAGATGCCAGGCTCTTCCAACTATTAAAAGAACAGCAAAAAATGCTTTTGGAACAGGTTCCCCAGGTACTTTGCCTTTGCAGTGCAGCATGGATAGTTTGGTTTTTTGCTTTAACTTCACAACCAAGATTTCTAACTCTGTAGAGTGCTGTGTTCCATGAAGTCCAGTCTCATGCACTTGCTCAGCTTAATGGTTGTCTCATAGCTACAAACTGGTAAAATCTTTTCAATATCTTTTCCTAAAGTATACACAGGCAAATTATGGATCTGACAGAACAGGGAGTAAGATGAAAACATTATTTTATTATGAAAGAAATGCTTTTCCCCTACTGTATGTCTTCATGTATGGCAGAGCAGCCTTCACAAGGAGGAAGGTGGGTGAGATTGCCACTGCTTGCAAAGAGTTGGTTTTGAGAGATGTGTAGCACTATGGGTCTTTTTAATTTTTTTACTTATTCTCTGGTACCCATACTATTTGTTAGCATGTTCTTCATTATAGTCAATCTAAATTTAGACTGAGAAAATCTGCTACAAGGTGGCAGATTTGAGTTTGCACTTCCCTTTGTTGGAGACCTCAGAGTTTTAAGCACATCAGTTTTATGTAGGGAGCCTGGCTTTTCCCAGCATAAGAACAGCAGGAGCTCTGTTCCAATGCCTGCCCTGAAGTCCTTGACAAGCTTCAAGGATGGGAGAAGCAAATAATTCCTCCAATGCAAATGGGTACAGAGGGTTGAGAAGCATCAGACTAAACCTGATATGAGAATGAAAGCTAGGAATTCAGTTCGAAAGTTCCTTGTCTTTCTGGTTCCAAACTCTAGGCTAATTTAGCCTAACATGTCTAATGCTTCTTTCAGAAAATACAGAAGCCTTGCCAAAGCCCAGTTCACTCGATGGTGACCTTTCCAGCTGAATCCATCTGCAGAAGCTATGCAACCAGTTCTACCAAGAAAAGAAGTACCATGCCTCGAACCCTTTGCCATAAGAAGAGTGTTACTACAGCAGCCAGTTCCAAAGGCACCCCAAGATCCACTGAAAGGGTCTTGCTTGGGCCAATGAGGGTGTCAGAATGCACAGGATGGAGGGATTCCTCATCCTGGCTTGGTAAAAATGCTGTCTCTCTGTGGAGATCAAGAAGAGCAGCAGCACTGAAGAACCCTTATTCATCATCTGCTCCTGCCAGCAGAAAGATGTAAGTTATTCTTTTGTTAACCTTTTTCCCTTTTCTTTTTTTAATTATTGCGATTAGAGTATCTGTTAAGGCGATAGGCAAGGTATGCGGTTCGCTGTTCTCTTCTCCTGAAGGGGTGTGCTGTTTGAATAGCTAAGAAAGTAGTTCCAGGTACCTGTATAGATGAGGACTGAGCAACACATAAAGCTGAAATGTGAAATACCGTTCTGTGTCATGACAGAACTTGTTAAAAATCACCCATCCACTGGGGAAGTTTGCACTTAACTTTGCAGGTTTCTCAGAACCAGTGATCATCAGATACTAGAGGCATACCTGAGTTCTTTGCAGATGCCTTTCTGGTAAAGAAAAATGCTCTCTATGCATCTCACTCCTACTTATTTCCAAGTTTCCCAAAGTTGCTATTTGTATTGCAAAGACACCAAGAATAGCTTTGCTTATGCTGAGCTCTTTAGAGAGAGAGATATTCTTGGGTCAGATTTAACATAAATTAGATAAGGCTTGCGAGCTAATGAAATACTTCATGATGTGCTCACAGGTTTTTCTTTTGGTCAAAGTCACAAGAAATGTGAAAGCTGAAAGCTGAATCCAAGCCTCATTAATCTGAATCCTGTGTCTCAATTGGAAGATAGCTGTCTGGGGGATGAATGGAGATGAGAAGCAGTTGGCCAGTGGAATTAACAGTATGACTGCCACAGCCCTAAACTCCTCTGGGTAAAGCCTGGAGGTAACAAGAGTGATACTGCAGGGATAGAGACTTGAATAGTGTCACCTAGTCAGCCTGTCCTGTTTGATCTTTAGTAATGACCATTCCATTTGCAGAGAGTTTGACTGGGAGCTGGAACCGGTCTCCTCAGGGATTTGCCAGCTAAAGTGTATCTCCCAGGCACTTGATGATGCCATAAGGCAAGAGGAGAGGTAAATACTGTTAATTGTCCCTCAACTGTTAGCACAGGTTACCTCCCACCTGGACATTTCCAAATGCAGGCTAAGCGACCCCTGTAACTCAGGATGAGGAACAATTTCAGGACTTTCTCAGGTGTAATGTTGTAGATCCTTTCAAGATACCTAGGCAGATTAAATATGCAGCTGGACTTGCAACTTCTAAAAACTGTCAAATGCTCTTCTTGCCTTCAGGTTTCTTGCTGTGGGAGTCAGATTTTTCACAGCAAGAGCCTACCTTTGACCTTGTGTGAGAACAGTACCTCCCTGAAGTACCTCCTTGCCTCTGTCTAAAAGAGGCGTCAATCCAGGCTGCGGGAGGTGGGGAAATCCCAGTGCACTGACACAGTCATTGATGTCTGCACATGGACAAAAAATATCCTTGTACTGGGCAGCATTATGTTAACAGTCCATGGTACCTGGCTGCAGAAGCCTCTTACAAAACACCTTGGCTGATCCATGAGGTGGTAGACTTGAGGTGCTGTATTTGTGAAGGTTATATCATTCCGAATTAGATGTATTAAGAGAGTAAATACTAAAGGTCAGAAGTCTTGTCACAGGGCAATTCCCTAAACCTCTTCCTCTCAGAACACTTGACATCAAGCATTCAGTAAGTAAATGCCAAGCACCTCAAATCTCTAAAGAGGGCTTAGCATCAAGTACTTTTACCTACAAAGAGGTAAGGGCTTAAAATCCTACATAATTCAAAAAATTCAATTTTTACCAATGGGACTGTGTCTAGATAACTATAGGTTAAATCTTGTATCAAGTTAATTTTATCATATCCATTGAAAGTTCACCAAGTCTCACTCATAATATTCTCCCATCTGTTAGTGAGATGAGCTTCTGTCATTCATAACTGAAGATAGTAGCAACCAGGTAAAGTAGCTGTTCACTTACCTTGTCTATACCTGCATGCATCTGTGGGGTGAAAATCTGCTGTTTAGAGAGAGAACGGCTCATTACCTCCTGCTGCTTTAAAGCAGCGTGAAGCAGACCCGCAGGGTCCTTCCCTCCTGTTCGCTGTGGCTGTGTCTGCCACAGCAGGTCGTTGTGCAGCTGTAAAACTTCACCTCTCTTGTTGTGGATTAGCGAAACCATGTACATTCCTAATGAACCATAAGCTGGGCTTCTATGCAAACAGCAGCTTTTCTCACCCCAGACCAGAAAACTACTGGTACTAATGTTTTTGTCACTCAAGCTTAGTTCTCACTGATTACTAATGAAGACCACAAAGCATGACAGAACAAACCATTATCCTGTCTGATTTTACAGCCTTTCTTTTCCATCCCTCCAATTTTTACAGCAGTTAAGACCAGGCTATCATAATGACAGCAGCTGATACATGTACTGGTGGCATTTTTAAACACAGCAATTGTACCTAAATGGATGGGAAAAGGAAATCTTTCTTGTCACTTTCTAAACATCATTATGTTATATAA